CCATAAGTACAGCAATGGAAGGAAAAGAACCTGAGCTCCAGACGATGGTGGGTTTTTGCAGACATAATTGCTCAGTGTATCTCACTGAAGTGGAAATTCTAACCAGGAAACTCAGAGCAGACATGGGGCATAAAGAACAAGCAGGCTGCCCAGGAAGCCTACCACCAAAGATGGAAAACCTTTGCATCCAGCCATACACACTGCTCCTTCTTCACAATTACCAGAAGGACACAATTATAAGAATAATAGGCAAACAGAGATCTTCAAAGACATATCTGAATAGACAGCCAGGAATGACCAGATTTTTAAGAAAAACCAGCTCTATGAAACGGTGCTACCAGATGCAGCAAACAATTAATTCTAGAAGAACAAATTTAAGGTGATGAAAATTTAAAATACATGTAATCAATATATGCAAAGAGATTTATGAGTCTGTCATATACATAAAACAACAATTGTCTGCAACAGATAGGAACCAGTCATATTTGTAGGAAATACAAAGTTTTATCAATGAAAAACTCCTTAGATAAGTTAATTAGTGTTGGGTGACAATTCTCCATTAGTCTATTGCATTTTATGGGTTTTACAAAGTAAGGTACTAATTGCCCTTTGTTTTATACTATCTTTTCAAGGATGCTTATTTAGCAAATGTCTTGGAAAATAGAGTGTATCCCTCCAGAGTAAAGCATAGGCTCTCTATGCAGTATAATTAAAACGTTTCCTTCTGGAGCAAAGGGCAGGCATGCTGATTAAAGACTCCAGAACCCTAAGTCATGGTTCCATTGTTGTCACAGCCCACTGTGTGTGTAGGTATCATTTGGCCTTCTTACATCTCTCTCTGAGAACTAAGACTCAGAAACCCAGCAAATACTTATATGCTGGCTACTGCTATTTTTTTTTTTTTTTTTTTTTTTTTTTGGTACAGGATTGAGCCCAGGGGCACTTAACCATCGGCCCACATCCCCAGCAATTTTTTAGGTTTATTTTGAGACAGGGTCTCACTAAGTTGCCTAGGTCCTCTCTAAGTTGCAAAGGCTGCCTTTGAACTTGTGATCCTCCTGCATCAGCCTCCCAAGCTATTGGAATACAGGCATGCATTACCACACCTGGCTAGCTACTGCTATTCTGTGAGTAATCAACTATCTTTGTCTCTGACCTAGGAATCTTATGTTGTCTTCCACTATCTATAAAATTGTAGCAGGCTAACTTGAAAGTAGGGTAAAATCTCAGACCTGTCATAGTTCTTTAAAATTATCATAATGGAAATACTGAAAGCCTAAAATAGTGAAATGAAATATCAAGTCAAAGTATTCTCCCAGAATTTGGCCCAAAAGACAAATATAGACTATTGGGGAGAATTAAGAAATGTGAAAGATTCAGAGGCTACTCAAATATGAAATAAGAATTCTGAAAGAATAGAATTCAGAGAAGTAGAGAGTCAAGAAAAAGAGAAGATCTTTTCCCCAAATCTAAAGTAAGACAGAAATATTTAAATTAAAAAGATCATACTGTCTCAGTGAATCACCTTTAAGATTATTTACTAATCACAAAGGGGAACAGGTGTTATTATAATAGTGAAAGTTGGCAGAAACCAACTTAGCAAAATTAGCAGCATTAATAGTGGGCCAACTGAGTCATGTGTTTTTGATGTGATGCACCAAGAAGGATTCAATATCACTTCTATGATATTCTTGCCAAAAATGTTTACTCTGAATCTAGACATGTTGAAACAATCAGAAAAATCCAAATGGAAAGATATTATATCAAACAACTGGCCTGGACTCTTCATTCAAAAGCATCCATGACATGAAATTTTAAAAGGTGCCGGGGTTGGGGGGGCTGGAGATATAGCTCAGTTGGTAGAGTGCTTGCCTCACATGCACAAGGCCCTAGGTTCAACACACAGACAAGAATGTTATTCTAGAGAAAAGGAAAATAAAGAAACATGCTAACAAAATACTTTGTAGAGTCCTTAGTTGGGACCCTCAATTAAAAGGAATTATTGGAATATTTGGGAAACTTAAATATTAGCATATTAAATAATAGTGTTGTATTGAATTATATTTAATCAAAATTTGGGGGCTGGGGATGTGGTTCAAGCAGTAGCACGCTTGCCTGGCATGCGTGCGGCCCGGGTTCGATCCTCAGCACCACGTACAAACAAAGATGTTGTGTCCGCCAAGAACTAAAAAATAAATATTAAAAAAATTCTCTCTCTCTCTCTCTCTCTTTAAAAAAATTGAAATTGTTTTGTCTAATAGTGGTTTTGAGGTTATGTAATAAAGCACTCTTGTTTTTCATGAGATATATACTAAAGTATTTTAGGATAAAGTGTCATTAATGCTTGCAGCTTACTCTCAAATGATTCATTACAAACTACTTTTATATATAAAATCTATAATATTTTTTAAAATAAAAGATTAGAAAAAATAAATTTCAAATGCCAAGAGAAACTAATACAAAGAGGACTCATACCCAGAAATATTTAGGAACCTTTATAGAACTCAAAAGTTTGAAAATTACATCCTGAAAATTTTTCAGGGAGCCATAAATAGGCTACATACCGAGCATCCCTAGGTATAAATAGAAGACAGAGAACAATGTCATCCAAGTTCTTAGAGAAACTTAGTTTGAACATAGATTTCTACATCCAGCCCATCAAAATTTGAGCACAAAGAAGAAGAGGAAGGGGAAGATGTAATTTCAGTCATGTAAAGACTAAGAAACTTTGCATTCCAAAGATCTGCTCTGAAATACTTAGGCAAGGAAATGTTCCACAAGTGATTTGAAAAGCAGAGAGCTGTACTGGGGGAGCCCCACTTTTGGCCCTCTTCAAGATCTCAACCACTCCTGCTCAGGCTCACATCCTATGGCTAACTCTGCCCAGAGGTGGGTGGCAAATGGACTGACTGCATTGGCCACACTCTAACAGGAGACAAAATGCAAATGCTTTTAAGAGATCATTGCCCTCCAACTGTGAAATGGTAATGGGCTAAATTATGTGTTTAATTAATTTCCAGCTAACAGCATACCATAAAATTGAGAAAACAATTCCTCAGGCAAGTTCCATCCCTCGGGATCAGTGTGCATAAAGTACACACTAAAGGATCAAAATTTCTCATCAGTAAACTTGTGTCTGTCCTTTGGATGAATGTTCAGAGGTCTATTTCTGCTGTGGTCTGGTGAAAGGTGCAGTTACCGCTTATTGGTTTGTCTTTTTCTCCTTGTGTTTGTAACCATATGGATTAGAAATTTTTGCTAGTTCTTTTGGATCAGGAATCCAAAGAAAAAACTTGCTGTTAGATTTTTACCATGAACAGCCATCCTCTTCACAAGTTAGAGTTTTTTAAAGGAAAAAAAAAAATCACAGCAGGATTAGGGAGACTGAGCTAACAAATAATGAATGTAGCTTCAGTCTTGAGAATATTCAGTGATATGGACTGAAACAATATTTAACTAAGCTAGAGCTGTGCCTGCATAATAAAAATAGAATGAAGCAAAAGAGTAAAAGACACAAAATAGGTACCTCTTAATCCAGACTACATAATATTGTACAACAGCTTTACAATGATTTGTATGATTTTTTTTTTAATTTTAAGCTCCATGAACTCTATTTCTTTCTTTTACCTCTTATATTTCTTTTTAAAAAATATTTTTAGTTGTAGATGGACACAATACCTTTATTTTTTATTTATTTATATATGGTGCTGAGGATTAAACCTAGGGCCTCTCACGTGCTAGGTAAGCACTCTAACGCTTAGCCACAACCCCAACCCACCTCTTATTATTTCTAGCATTAATTTCAATGCTTGATACTGAGCTGACACTTGAGAAATATTGTGAATTAATAAATAAGTGAATAAATGAATGACAATGCCAAGTTTAAACCCCAGTTCTGTGGCATTATTGGCCATTTCCATGGTACCCAGTTATCCTACTGTGGATACTCAAGGCAGAATAAAAGACATTAACAGAGCATGCCTGTAACACAGACTACCATTTAATTTCATATAAATTTATGACTGAATCAATTTGGCTATTTGTTTCCAGAAAATTCCTACTTTATCTACTTAAGATCAGTCATGCTAAATACAAGTCTTAGTGGATCATCAGTATGTTGCCGTGGACAGCTCCCAATACAAGGCCCTCCATGGGACACTTCAGTTAATGGCATTTTACTGCCTCAGCAGTAAAGCTGGATGATATGGCTGGACTGTTTCCTCATAGAAGAATGCACTAAAAGAGGTCAGAGAGCCAAGGAATTGAAAGGCAGATCCAAGATCTCTGTTGCAGACAGAATCAGTGTCTAAAATCAGAGGGAACAGCAGGAGCTCCCATTCTTCCTGCTGGGTGTCACCTGTTCCTGGCCCTTTCACCTCCTGCTGCATCTGAGACCAAAACGCAGCATGGTTTCACAGGCAAATTCCTCCCCCCCAAGCTAACTTGATATAACTCAAAATAGGCTACAAGGCACTAATAGTCCACTAAACACAGGAACCTTGTTTTTTGTTTTTTTAATTTTTTTGCTATTCTAGGGATAAAACCCAGGGACTGGCACATGGTAGGCAAGTGCTGTCCCACTGAGATACATCTCCTAATCCGTTTTCTTTTATTTTGAGACAATCTCACTATATTGCCCAGGCTGGCCTTGCATTTGTGATCCTCTTCCCTCAGCAACCTAAGTAGTTGGGATCACAGGCAAGTGCCACTGCATGCAGCAGGGACCTTAATTTTATCTTCATCTTTAGGTTACACTGACCTTAAGAATCTTTCCCAGATGTTGAGAAAACATCTCTTCCCCCGCCCTCACACACACACAAACACACACACACACACACACACACACACACACAACAATTATTCTGTTACTCGGAAAGCTATTAGATTTAATGTAGCATTTGGCTCAAAGCATAGCCAACTTTTGCAATGCCATCCTGGATATAGAACTTGCACTTATGATTTCTTACCCTTTCTCTTTGCCAACAACTTCTCTGCCTTAGGAAAGGAACCTGGTGGGGGAATGAAGAGTTTGGATTGCAAAATTGAGGAAAGTGCTGAAATACCTGCCCTAGAGGACTCCTCCTCATCCCCCATAGATAGTCAGCAACATTCCTGGCAGGTTTCCACAGACATTGAGAACACTGAAAGGTAAGTGGGAAGTTACCCTGAATAGACTTCCAATCCTCCCCCAGCTAATGTTCTTAGGGGCCACAGAGAGTTGAGAGTTTTCTATTTCAGGTTCAGAAGAAACAGCTTTCTTTGGTCTGCCAGAGAAGTATAATGCTGGCAGGGACCTTGGAGACTGTTCTCATGGGCAGATGAAAAAACTGAGATGAGAAAGGGTAAGTAGTCCAAATCCTACAGGCAAACAGTAGCAGGACAGTAGGTGCCAGCTCCTAAGACTCTGCTTATCCCTCTCAAGTATGCTCTATCTCTGTAGAAGGGAGAAAAGTAGCTGTATATACTGTCATAGTTCATCCACCAAACTGGTTCCCAAATTTCTATTTGTTTAAGAGGAAAAAAATCCAAAGTCATGCAAAGACTCTTCTAGTGGATTTTTAAATTTCAGGTACATGGAGTGGCCTATTTAGCTGAGCATTCTGTCCTGTTCACAAAGGGCATTTCATGGAGCCTCCTCTTACTTTCCCAGAACGTAGCTGATGGCCCCTTAGTGGCCAAAATGAGTTAATGCACTGTCATAAGTAGGAGCTTACTTCTAGAGGGTGTTTTTTTCTTGGGAAGAAATTCTACAATGATTCTATTTCATTTGAGAAAAAGAAGCAATAATAATATCATAACAATAAGTGTCATGTCCTATCTAAAGGCTAAAAATGGTGTTCTGTGAGGCAGAAAGATGAGACTCTTGTTTATTGGTTTTCACACTAATATCTGTACCCTTTGCTACTAATGTCCCCAGAGTTGGCACAGAGCAGCTGAATGAATATTGGGCAATTCCACTAAGTGTTCTGTGTGTGTAGGGTTGACTCATTGACAACATAATAAACATTTTATTTTTTTACATTTAGAAATGTAACTTCCAATGACATTTATAGCCATTGTAGTTCTACTTTTAGATTGTAATATAATTCTAAAGCTAATTACTGAATTTCTGTGTTTATAGAAAATTGAACTATGTGGTGATTATGTGCTATTAATAAAACTTGGATTTTGTAATAAGCTTGGAAATCCAACAATTCAAACAATAAAACTGTTTGGCTCAGTTTGATAAAACTGTAGACAAATCATGAGGTAGTGATTTATCTTAAGTTACAAAATAGAAGATTCTTTGTTCTGTTCCCAGGGGGAAAAATATATATATATATATCTCCAGAATGCCATAGTCAGAGCAGAAACCATCAGTAAAGCCATTTTCCTTTTCAAAGCACCTTGCACAGCAGCTATAGCCACACATTATAAGTTTTAAGAAAGCAAGCTGTGGATGGTAGTAAGAACAGGGTAATAAGCCCACAGTGCTGGCTGTATTTCTGGTCAGCCTGGAAGTCCAGATTCTGGTTAAAGGAGTGGAAAAGAGTGAGGGAAGTAGGCACAGGATTCCTGGTCTGGATGTGGCTTCCTCAGCTCTCCTGGATTCTCTGACTTGGGCCCAAACTAGTCTGTGCATGTAACTCTCCAGGAAGGCTTTTTAAAAACATTGAGGCCTGGGCCCCACCAGAAGCCAAGGGAATCAGGGTCTCTCTGGTGATACTCCTGTGCAGCAGTTGGTCTTATATGGAAGCAGAATATACCCCTTGAATTTATGAAGAGAGGGACCTTTTTTTTTTTTAATCTCATCTGCTGTCTGCTTGCAGTGCTCAATGTCACAGTGTGACATTGAAACATTTCTACAGACCTGTGTGCTGCTTTCCCTTCCTTTTCTAATCAGCAATTCCTGAGATTTGAGCTCCTATTCACATCTTAGTCAATTCTTTTGAGGAAGAGGTCCCTTGGGGTCTCTAGTGCCCACGTCCCCCCGCCAAGGCAGTGGCCCTCAAACTGTGCTTAGCAGAATAGTGGTGTTTTGTGAAAGGGACTGAGAGTTTTCATACCTGAAGTTAAATGGTGGCTCTCCTAAATGCACAAGAAAAATAAATTAGTGGATAGAATTTCTTCCACTTTAGAATTGTCTCTGCTCCCAAACTTAAATCTATGGTGCCTATTAATGCTAGCCTATTCTAAAGTTGATTAAAAGATGTATCTGGTTTTTGCATCAAATTATTGCTGTTTTAGATGAAATCTACCACTAGGTCCCAAGATTTTAAGAGCATTATCTCTCTTTGCACAACCACCTTGATGTATGTGGGTACCACTGTCCCAAACATTTGAAAAGTCCAGTTTTCCCACTGTACTAGGCTAGAAGCCCCTGAAGTTGTTGGTTTCTCTACAGTTCTGGGATGTTATGATCACATTCCGCTGAGATGAGGGAGGATGTTGGAAGTATGCAGTGGTATTGCAATAGACCATACTGGGGAGCCAGGAAGTTTTGAAAAAGAGGCTGGTGGCTACAGGAAGACCAGCCTGCCCCCAGGTGGTTTCTCTTTCTCTCTTTATTAAGAGCTCCTCTCTAGAGGTTGTAGAATTTGTCATACTCTCCCATCATTCAATTTAGTAAGCATTGATTCTCACAAATGCTTAATACTTCATTATGCTGAATTCCAATCACAGCAAGGAGAGACTTGAACCTGAGCAGAGAACAGTGAGGAACCTACACAGTCACCACTGCCTCTGACCAGAACCCCAGATATCACATCTCCCTACCTCCACCCCTGCTCCCCAATTGTTGCATTTTGTATGTCCTTGGCCTCTCACTGTAAATCTGAAGCATTGTCCTCATTACCAAAGGCTCCTCTCTGATCTCAGCCAGGTGCATTTGGAGGCAAGGATGAAGTCTCCTGTAGGACACTATCCTTTGGAAATGTTCCTCAGAGTAGTTCTCTCTCCCACAGGAGCTGACCCCATCTCAGATTTTTTTCTTATAAAAGCAAAATAGATCCAATATTTGCCTACTGAAAAAAAAAGAGCTAGTACAACTAGGCACAGATTCTTGCCTTTCAGTTGTCTCATAGAACAGACTGAGACTTCATTTTAGAAATTTATAGCTGATTACTTTTTCTTTTTATCAATTTTACAGAGACATGCGAGAAATGAAAAACCTTTTAAGCAAACTCAGGGAAACTATGCCTTTACCATTGAAAAATCAAGGTGAGTCTTGTCATTTCTCTGTGTGGCAAAGGATGTTTTAAACAAGATACATAACTTGGAACTTATTTCTTGAGAAATTAAAGCGGGTGTTTTCCAGAAACAATAGAAAGCATTAAGCATACATTTGTCTTCCTGGGAGGAAATGTAATCACAAAATTGCTTTGAACTGGGTAGAGAAAACTCTGACCTAGAAGCAGATTTCTCCCCGACTGATTGCATGTGGTGGTGAGCACTATACCAGATGGGGTCACACAAAAGGACTGAGGATGTGGCCCTTGTCTCCAAGAGGTTTGCAGCCTAGGGGACAGACTTAGGAATACTTCCAAAGAAGATCCCTAATATCTACATGTCTAATTATTTAAAAAGTAATAGTAATACTTAACATAAATTGGGAACTTACCATGTCACCATCCTGTATACATACAGTAACTGTACTAAATTATTTAATTATTTTTGTGAGTGTAATGCAGGGGATTGAACCCAGGGGCCTCACATGTGCCAAGCAAATGCTCTATCACTGAACCACCTCAGCTGCTTATTTAATTCTAACAACTTTGAGGGAAATATTATTATTTTTCCGAGGTTACAGGAAACTCAGACATAGAAAGGTTAATTAACTTGTTTAAAGTCACACAGACTGTAAGTAGAAAAATTGGGATGTAGACGCGCAGGTAGTCCATCTCCAGAACTATCTTGAAGTAGACATCCTAACAGAAAAGGAGGGGATATTCACCAGAAAGAGAGAAGGGCCTCTCTATGTTTTTGTTAACTATTGTATCCCCAGTATTTAGAGATAGGGACCTAGTAGAATAATACCTGGCACAAATGATAAATGTTTGTTAAAGCTGTACCCAACTTTGCAGGCCTTGGGACTAAGGATGTGGTGGGGGGTGAGGGAGACGACAAGCACTCTCACAAAGCATATGCAGCTGGAGCAGCTTCAGAGAGTGGCACAGAGAACGTGGGGAAAGGCTTTTTGGAGGCAAGTTAGAAACTCCTCTTGTTTCCACTGAGCAAAGCCTAGGCGGGAGAGAGGACATGGTGCTGCCTGCCTTAGAGCGAGGAGGAGGGGAGGAGGAGGATTTGGCAACAGAGCTGAGGCGCCTCTTGGCTCAGGAAGCAGCTCAGCAGAAGGTAGAGAGGTGGAAGTGAGAACACCAGACGAAGAGGCTGAAAGGCTTAGGAGTAGTGTGGCCTCAGCTGCATGGGGCGAGTTGCAGGGGACTAGCATATCAGGTCACTTCAAGCACCCCCAAAGGGCCTGGCCACCAAGGCCAGCTGTCTTGAGCCAAGGGTGTAGTGCTTTTTGAAAAAAAAAAAAAAAAAAAAGACAACACGTTGTAGTGATGATAGATTGCTCTGATCACAACATGGATTGTTGGTAGAAACAAGCAAAGTTTAAGACAAAGAACCTTGGATTAAAGCTAGCCGCAGTCCAAATGCTGTCACTACCACGTATCAGCTTTTCACCCTAGATAAGTGTTTAACTTCTGGAAATTTTAATTTCCTCATCCCTGAAAGGGGATAATAGTATCACCTACTTCAGAGGGTTGTCATGAGGATAAAATGAAACAGTGCGTCATATGCCTATTACAAAGAGCAAATGTTTGACAGATGCTTTATTGTAAGTACTATTGTTATTACTGGTATTGTTGATATTATTTACTAGCTGACCCACCCAGCTTTGCTCAGGAGAACCCCAAACCACTACTGAATCAAACAGTCCCTATTACCACTCACCATGACCACGTGTTATATCCATGTGAGGCTGGTCTTGAGGCTGCAGTTCATAGCATTGGCTTCTGGACTTGGAAATCATGTCTAAAGTGTCCTTTGTGTCTACTTGGCAAATCTCCCCCATCAATAGCACCAGGCCCCTTGCTGAACCTCACATTCAGTTGCCTAGAAGGAAGACTACCCAGGGTCCCCCAGTCTAAATTTCACGGATGCCATAAAGTCTACATTTTAAATTATGCCATCTTAAACATTCCCTCCATATCCGGTGGTAATTCATTCAGCAGGTTTTGAATTGTACATTAGTGGAAAGACAAATTTTATTCACTTAGTCTATTTTTAGAGAAAGTATAATACAAATATTTTACATAAATTTTTATTATTTTCATAAACAAAAATAAAATTTTAAATATATCTTTAAAATATTAGAATACTAATAAAATACTATGAGTTAAAGGAATAAATAATACAGGGGCTTGAGTCCTGGATCCATATGGAGAATGAAGAGGAAAGAGCTAGGAGGTGTAAGAACTTATTCAGAAGAAAGTGGTACAGTAAGATCTTAATTAAAAAAATAACTTGGGGTGAAGGATTGGTAGAAATTCAGGTGTCTTCATTTTGGAGGAGAAATGTGAACCTTCAGCATGTGAAGATCTGTGTTCTCTAAATGTTCAACATGTCCCCACAGCATGTTGCCACTGTGAGCTGGCTGATGGGGAAGGGCTTGAGAGATGCCTGCAGGGTCCAGGGAGTGCCTGAGGACAGGAGAACAGGTCTCTTGTGGTCCCTCTGGGAATGTTTTTTGACAAATGCCTATGACATCATTTTAATGAGCAAATCATATGAGATTCTTCTCTCTGACTGATCCAAGGTGGACTGCCAAGTCTTCTCCATTCAGGTGATTTGTTTATTATACAGGTCTAGTCTAACATGTGCAGGAAACAGTGGGGGGAAAGTATGGAAAAATTTTTCCAATTCTTTTCTGTAGAATATTATTTTCAAAACATGATTCTAACTGGTTGAAAACCTTTATAGAAAGCCATCTGTTTTCTTTCTGGCTTCTTATTTCCTTTCTCTTTTTATTCCATTTACATGTCTGTTTGAAACAGAGAAAAGGGGGAAAGATACCATTCCTGACCCTCGTTTTTCCAACCCAGAGCCCTGACCATGTAATTACCTGCCAGCCAGATCCCCCTCTTCTCCAGGCTCCCTCTCAGCCCTTGGCTCAGAAACTGTTCTGTTTTCTTTTTTAGTATTTAAAGATTTAATCATATCTTTCCCTTTCTACACAATCAAAACTTGACTCAACAAAAGTTGACTTCAAATTGATTTTCAGTAGAAAAGAAAGGAGGGTGGCCGAGGGCAGGGATTTTAATGGTTAGCGATGATGGCTTTATTTTAGAGAAAGTCTTTTCTTTCCCATCCTTCCACTTTAAGACTGGAGACAAAGAGGTGCACAAAAAAAGAGCCAGCCACCCTTGTTGTGCTGCAGCTCCCCAGCAGGCTCCAGGCGACACCCAGGTCTCCTGGCTCTCAGCCCGCTGTTCTTTCCACTGCTTCAATACCCCTCCTGTCCTACATTCTGGGTCACTGGCAGTGCTGTAGGGAGCTTCATTAATTATGATGGTCTTGCTGTGTCAAATGGATTACAAATGGAACCACCTGTGGAGAGCCCGCAAGGTTACTGACAAAGGCTAAAAGGAGATTGGAAAGTGAAGGACAAGCATCTTCTAAATGCACACTGTTATGAAACAAAGCGAATCGCCAGAAATAAATTAAGCCTGAAAGACAGTTTCACCTTTTCTAAAATTCTGACTTAATGCTGTGGGTTGTATTGGTATATTCAGTCTTGCATAGAATTCCATTGTTGATACCATGCACGAGAATCAGCCTGGAGTAGGTAAATCAGGAATCAGATCTGCTCTAGAATGGGTGCTCACATGTGGACAGTCCTGCTCCAGATTAAACTGAGCCTATGAACTGTTCTCCTAGATTTATATCCTCCATCCACTCTGATTTGGACCACTGTATGTAAAACCAATCTGGCCATATCAGATAAAAGATATCTGGATATCTGGCTAAAGAGCACTGGGAAGTTATGCTCCCTCTGTCCTGGAGGTGACCTTTCAAGTCCTTCTCCCAGGGCCTCAACTGAAGACATTCTATGTTACCAGGTAGTGTTGGAAAGCTATTCTGGGCAATTTTACCAGTAGCCCCATATCCTTTGTAATCTCCACAACCTTTTATCCAGCTTTCAATGTGACAAATGTAATCCCTCTCCTCCAATCTAATCCATGCATCAATTCTAATGCATTACTCTATGTTGAGTCTCTACTCACAAATGTTAAATATCTACTGAAGGAAGAACAAATCTCACTCTAGTATCCATTGTCCTTATCACCATCCAACATGTGATGATCACCTATGTAATGTGTCAAATTCTGTGCCAGATCTGGGGATAAATCCCACCACTGCACCACCCAAGGTAGAATTGACTGAGAATCACCTGGGAAGCTTTTCCAGATGGCCCATCCCTCCCTCATATAGATTGTGGTAAAGTGTTCAGAGAAGGCATGTGAACTCCAAAAAGGACTCTCCCTGCCTCTGCCACCCGCCCCCATGTCTGTTACCATTAAGATACAAAGATGAGCACTTAGAATACAATAATGCCACAGTGATTACACACAGGTTGCTACAAGATTATATTGGATTCTCACTTAGCCTGAATGTGAGTTGAAATGGGGAAGCATTTGAGCTTGCTTTTTGGAAAGTATCCAAGCTGAGACTTTTTAAGGTGAGTAGGAGTTACTCAAAGAAAAAAGATGGGGTAAAGATTACCTAGACCCAACGACCTAGATATAAGTAGATACAGCACAGAGCATTTCTTTTAAAAACTACAGCTCTTCGGTAGTTAGGAAAGTGGTTAGATGGAGGCTTAAGAAAGATGAGAGGGCTGGGAATGTAGTTCAGTGGTAGTGCTCTTGCATGTGTGAGGACCTTGATTTGATTCCCAGAACAGAGAGAGAGCGAGAGAGAGATGAGAGAAGTAGGTGGGCTATACCTTAAGGCACCTGTAAGCCACATTAAGAGGGTTGTATTTTTATCCTGGAGCTGTTGGAAGGATGCAGTTAGGAGAAAAGTGCAGTATTCCAAATGAGAAATACTTAAGATCTGACTTAAAGCTAAAAGATTGGAAAGGGTAATATGGCTAGTCAGAGGTGGTGCATGACAGAGAAGGTAGAATCAGGAATGAAACCCGGGGTCAA